GAGAGAGAGAGAGAGAGAGAGAGAGAGAGAGAGAGAGAGAGAGAGAGAACAGTTCTTAGGCACATCAGAATCACCACAGGGAACTTTCAAAATAACTTATTTGAATAGGTAATAAATGCAATCAGTGCAATCCTCAAATGAAAAAGGGCAAATATTGAAAAGAAAGTATATCCTTTTCACTCCCATCACCCATTTCTTTTTCCCAGAGGTAATATTAATCAGCTTCACGAATATCCTCTCTGGAAAATATAGTCAAGGTTGTGTGTATAAAAATTAGTCTCAGGCTGGGGATTTAGCTCAGTGGTTCCACTGCCTGCTTCGCAAGCACAAGGACCTGAGTTTGATCCCTGGTACCAAAAAAAATTTAGTGTCTTTTCTGAATGGCCAACTAGTTATATGAAAAGAGGCTCAACATTACTCATCAGGGACATGCAAATCAAATCTGCATGAGTTACCACTTCATTAGCATTAGAAAGGCCATTATAAATGACTAAAATCACGCCTATAATCCAAGTACTTGGGAAGCTGAGGCAAGAGGATCATCAGGAATTGCAGGTTAGCCTGGACGTGTGGTCAGTTCAAGGCCAGCCTGAATTACATAGTGAGATCCTGTATCAAAAGAAAAAAACAACAAAACCCAGAAATAACAAGTGTTCATAAAGATATGGAGAAGTTATAACCTTTGTACCCTGCTGATGGCAAGAAAAAATGGTGCAGTGTTGCTATGGAAAACAGTATAAAAGTTCCTCAAAAAATTATTTAAAAACCCCACATGACCCAGCAATCCTACTTTGGAGTAATTTATCCAAAATCAGGATAAAGAGATATTTCCACATTTGTGGTTATTTCAGCATTATTCACAATAGTCAAGATATGGAAATAACTGAAATGTTCAGCCAGAGAATGGCAAGTAGAGTTTAGTCATACAAATCAAGAAAGTCCTAAAGCACTGCTATATAACATCATGCTTATTGTTAACAATACTGTACTGTGCACTTAAAATACTTGTTAAAAGTGCAGATTTTCAAGTATGAACAAGACCCTGGGTTTGATTCTCAGCACCACAAAGAAAAAAAGGGGTGTGTGTGTCATGTTATGTGCTTTATTCTGTACCATCATAAAAAACCTGATTTTTAGAAAAATGCAAATGTTATCACACCATTAAACTGTGTACCATTTAAGCTTAAGTTATAGAATTTGTAATAAATCCTTTTTCATTATAGAGTGGTTTTCTGCTGTAATTCTCCACATTGTCTTTTTTTTTTCTTTTTTCTTTTTTTCTTTTCTTTTGCTTAACTGTATTAATCTCAGCTTTTAAAAAATTCTTTAACAGGGCCGTGGATTTAGCTCAGTGGTTCTGCCACTTGCCTTGCAGGAGCAAGGTCCCAAGTTCGATCTCCAGTACCACCACCACCAACAACAAAAAATCTTTAACAATATCAGTAGCTGTATCTCTTGTGTCTTTTAAATTTCATTTTATTAGTAGATGTGTATAATACATGTACCTCATACATCTTAATTCCTTTTTTCATCCCCTTTCCCTTCCCTGCCCTCTCCATCTTCATTCATTTACATTTTAAAAACATTTTTACTAAGACAGGTGAGGTGGCACACACCTATAACCCCAGTACTCAGGAGGCTGAGGCAGGAGGATTGCCACAAATTCAATCCCAGCCTGGGCTACACAGTGAGTCCAAGGCCAGCCTGAACTACATAGAGAGATTGTCTCAAACCCCCACCCCAAAATTTTTTATTAGAATATTGCTTTTTAGGTGTATGTTTGTAATACATAATGCTTACATGCTTGTATAGAGCTGGTATGTATGTATATAACACATCTCAATTCCTTTTTTTCATCTCCAATCCCTTCCCTCCCTCCTCTATATCTTAATCCCCTTCTTCTTTGAGAAAGATCTATCTCCCTACTTCCTTTGATTTTGTTCTTTATTTTTACTTTGGGTTATTTTTCCTCATGTAAGAAGAATAATGTGATATTAAGCTTGTGTGTGATTTCACTTAGCATCATGGTATCTAGGTGCATCCATTTTTCCTACAAATGACTCACATTTACCTTTTTTATTGTACAGAAGCACAATGCTTCACCATGTATAAGTACCACATTCTTTGTTCATTCTTCTGATGGACATATAGGCCACTTCGAAGATTTAGCTATTAAGAATTGTGCTATTATAAACATGGGTATGTATGTATCACTATAATTTTAGTTTTTAATCATCTGGTATATCTACTTTTATGCCTGGCATTTTTTTAATTGACCACAATACTATGTATTTGAAAAATGTGGATTCAAGTTGAGGTCTGGAGGATATAATCATCCTTCAGAATATTTACTTCCAGAAGGCAATTAACCTAAGAGAAGATTACCTAAATCCAAACCCATATTTCTATGAATTTAAAAACTAAACAAATATAAAGACTTAAGATATTAAAGGAAAATATTTTAATAGTAGAAATATATTTTAAGGGTACACAAAAACAAAGGCATAAAAGAAAACTGAACAAAGAAACATAAAATTGATCTTCATTGAAAGACAACTATAAAGAGTTAAAAGATAACAAAGAGTAGCAATATATATGAAAAGAAACGTTCAAAAGCACAAACCAGGTGTCATACAAATTAGGAAAAGACTAACATTGCAAAAGAAAACTGGTCAAAGCACATGTAGCCACACACTCACAAAATACACAGTAATGACCTATACACATATGAAAAAATGTTTAACTTTACCAATGAACAAAGTAGGGCAGGCTATCACACTGTTCATTAACTCAAATTCTCAAATTAATTAGAAGGTTTCAAAATTCTGGGACAATATCACTTTATATAATGCAAGTGGGAGTGGAACAAGAGATTAGGGCAGAGCAAAAAACGACTAAGCAAGCTGACATGCACTGTCAATCATGTACAGAATACAGAATCTGCAGCACTACACACAGGACCAATCAGAAAGTTCTATCTTTCATTCTTCATTCAGATCTGTCAAGAAACCAAGTGGACCTCAGCTAGGACAGCTTAAATCAAAGTAAGTTTTGATAGGACAACTATCCCAAATGACTTATTTGCATGGGAGAGAAGCAATCTAGGAACTGGAGATACAAAAGACCCTGTCATTCCTCGTGGCTGCTGTGAGTGTGCTCACTGGCCTGCTCTCACTCCACAATGGTTTGTATGCTTTTCTGAGACAGGGTCTTGCCATTAGGTTCAGGCTGGCCTTGAACTCACTATGTAGCTCAGGCTGGCCTCAAATTCATGGTGATCCTCCTGCCTCAGCCTCCCAAGTGCTGGGATTATAGCCATGCGCCATCATATTCATCTGGAGTGACCTCTTTTCCACTTACTTTATGGATTGATTGATTGACTATACTGGGGATTGAACTCGACTCCTTGCACTTGCAAGGCAGGCCACCAAACCGCTGAGCTAAATCCCTGGCTCCACTTTAAATAAATGTAAATCCTTGTCATTGTTTCTGCAAATACTGTCCAATTCTTTGGTCAGGATACCAAAAACTTGGAAAGAATCACTTCAAGATCCAAAAGCCAGTAACAGGTATATAAATCGAAGGGCAATGTATCAAACTTTTCAGTGTACCAAGATAGAACAAATCTATTTCCTTTCCAAGAAATCCATTTTCCATTTCTTGGAATCAATATCTGGCAGATGTTAGGCAGATCAACTCCACTGTGATTCCTTTGTTCAGTGATTTACTGAAAAGTGACTGGAAAGCTAAAGAGTATATTTTCCACACTGTCTTAAAGCTTGGTTCACCAAGTAACCTACCTACAGTCAACAGGCCCAATAGATTTGGAAGGCACAAGGGAGGAAAACTGCCCTTCTGCAGCTTTTGCTGCATGCACAGCTGGGCAGGCATTTGCTCTTCTGTGGCAGTGGAACAGAGAGGTGTCTCCTCCCATAGTTTATGGATATTACAAGGCAGGGCATAATGCATGTGTTTTGGTGACACATGTGGTCCTGATGCATTAGCAGCAGCCCTAGGCAAGTACTTGGGGAAAGACTCTCCGATTCTGACAGAAATAGTAGCTCCTTTAATGAGCCATTTTGAGACATTGAGAGCCTTTTTGAAAGGCTCAGTTAGCCTTCTTTCTCCTTCATCCCTTCTAGTACAAAAAACCCTCTATTAAATTCTTTTCTACTTAACTTGCAAGAGTAATTTCCAATATCTGCAAATATATCCTGATATATTCTTCTATAGAAATATTTCCTAAAAAGTTAAACAAATTGTGTGAGGATTTTTGCTGTATTGTTGTTATAGTAAGTTAAATTCAAACAATTTAAATGTTCATAGAAGAGTGGGTAAATCAATCAGTGCATATGCAGTATCCGTTATAAGTTATTTCTCGACAGACTGATTTTAAAGATATCTCTGACATAGTATTTCATTCACTTAACAAATATTTACTGAGGTTCTACTATGATATATCTCCTAGCCAGTGTTCTAGTCCCAAGATCTAACAGGAAGCAAAATATCAAATCCTAGCCTCATAAAGCCTACATGACATCATTAAAGTGAAATGAGTATCAGAATAATGTGTGAACTAATTTATAAAATTCTTTCCCCAACACAAGTATAAACTACATCAAGAAAGATACACAGCAAACCACTAAAGTGATTATCTTTGGGGCTTTTGTAATACCTGCATGGGAGATACAGCAGCTGCTGGGGTGGTCCTCACTGGTATTCCACTTAGCAGACTTCTGGGGGCCTTATGGATGGAAATATTCTGCCCAGTTCCACCTGTCAAGCAAAGAGATTGGTGTGGGGGGGGACACACACACATACACACACACACACACACACACACACACACACGCACATGGATTTTGGTTCAAAGTTGCTTGCAAAAAATAATTCTTAACTTGTTGCTACTTTTTGGTGATTTAAATACCCCATGTTTAGTACAGCATTTACTCTATTAGCCTTTTCTCTTTTGGACTAGAGCTGGATTGGGGAGATGAAGGGAGGAGTTAGCCAAGTGAGGGTTGGGTTTAGTTATAAGATAACCAAAGAAAAAGAATGAGTATGTAATAAGGTTGCTCTGGAGGGAAGTAAGAGCAAGATTCTCCCCAAAGATATTACTATTGATTCATTTCCTATCTGCACAGGCTTGCTATCTGAGCTTTCCTATCTTTTAATATGAGTAGACAAATCTTAATCTAATTTAGATGCAAACTAACAGAGACAACTAAGTACATTTGAGGATTAGCTATTACTCTAGTTTTCAAATACAACGCATACTTTTTGTAGTCAAGGGAAGACAGATGTTATTGTGGAAAGATGTACATTGTTTCTTCTATTTACTGTATCTGTGTATGTGAAAGTACGGGTACATTTTTCTTATATATGTAAGATAAGCCTGACTAAAAGGAAATTGAGTCAGACTATTCCATAAAAACAGAGAACACACCAAGATCGGGAGTTACAGATCAATACAGGAGCTCACAAACAAGACGAGGTAGAAAAGTCAAACAGTACAAAAGGTTTGGATGGCTGGGGGTGTCAACAAGAGGGCCAAATGCACAGATGTGATACCTCGTTTCCCAGGAGATAAGGGCTCTGGCCTACCCTTCTAATTCTTAGTGGAGATGAAAAAAGGTACAGTATTTACTTGTACATAATGGGTATAAGAGGCAAAACAGGAGTCAGAGAGAAGAGGGAAAGGAAGAGGCCATATTCGTACTATCCAAGAGACAGATTTCCCATTGTGACTCATTGGAGCCTCTGTCCAGCTCTTGCACAGTGGCTACAATGAGGCATGAATTGAAAGAGCCTTGTATCAATGTGAGGCCAGTGTGGTGCTGAGACAGGTTTTAAATGTCAGACCAGCATTTGAATATGGAGCTTTGCTTATGGAAAAAAGCGATTAAATACCTGGGTGTCCCAAGTCAAATGACTTGATCAGTGACTTAACAGTGGTTGCAGACTCTGCAGGTGCTGGAGATGTTCTGCTGACATAGACACCATGCCACCGGCCAGCAGTGTTGACCTCCGATGGCTCAGGCTCTTCATTCTCAGGTCTGCACAGTAAAGAGCATATCAGGTTGAAAAGGTGGAGGGGTGTGTGTGTATATGTGTATGTGTGGTGGTAGGGGAAGAAATCAGATGTAAATAGAACTGATACAGAGAAAATATACAAAGCTGAAGACAGAATCCTAAATTTAAAATTCTAATCAACTCTGCATCTTTAGGAAATAATGTAGGTACTGCTCTCAGCTTTCAAGAGCTGTTTTCTTAGGAAATAGTATGCAATAACATGTTTGTTATTTATTGACATTAGCTCTAAATATGAGTCTACTCTGCAAGCATTAAAAAATATAAATGTTATTTATCATAAGTATTTAACCTACTAACTAGCTTGCTAAATATGTATGATAAATATGATGGATACAATGGATTGGCTGGTTGACATGTAACATACTCTGATGTAGGAAAGATGGATTCTCAGCACTCTCCTGAAAGCAGCTAGGCTCTCAGAAGTGATTTAGGTTACACCGATCAGAAAGACCTGGGGTGGGATGTGCGTCACGGGGAGAGACAGGGCACAGGGCATTCACTATGTTGATGCAGATGGTAGCAGAGACAGGATGCCTCTGATACTGATAACTGTGGTTGTAGCTTTCCAACTGGGCAGGTAGTCTTTCAATTTTAAGGCTCACATTGTGGTGGAGGCAGCAGGTCCCTTTGTGTCCAGTTCTGTGTTGTGACTTCAAAAAGCTATTCCTAGAAGCTCAGGCTACAGTCTGTTTCTTCAGCCTTCCCAACAATTCTGCAATTCATTCAATAATGTTTTGCCTAAGCCAATTAAAGTGTAATCAATTTTATACAGCAGAGTCTTGCCCAGTAGTTTGCCTTCTAAGACTAAGAATGGTAATTCCACATGTGGTAAAACTTGTACTTTCACTCAGATTTTCTGTTTTTTTGTGTGGTATCTAAATTCCAGCACAAACTCAAGAGTTTTAGAAGACAGATCATCTGATTCAATCCTTTCATGCGTGGCTTCCTCATCTAGGGAACATGTCATTTGATCGCTTTATGAATAACCCAAGACAAGAACTCTCAATCTTCTCATTGCTAAATAACTGCTCCTTTTATTATATCATATTGCCACAGCTGTTCTGGAAGATGACTAATTTATGAGAATGGCTCAAATAGAATATTTCTGGCAGCTATTTCACTAAGGTCAGTGGAAGTTTAAAATATTTATTTCCTGGTCTTTTTGAAGTTAATCTAGCTACTCAGAGGAGTGTCGACAATTGAAGCAATTTGCCCTTAATTCTCTCAGCTTTCTTCTGTTGCTCTGTAATCAACACGAACAGAAAAAATTTAAGTAAAGCAAAATTTAAAATAAACTACTCAGCTTTAACACTCTTTTCTCTCTCTCTCTCTCTTTCTTTGGTACCGGGGATCAAACTGGTCCTTGCGCTTGCAAAGCAAGCAGCGGAACCACTGAGCTAAATTCCTGGCTCAGCTTTACACTCTTAATTCCGGAACTCTTTCTTTTGAATGGAAAAAAAAAAAAAATCAACAAATTGAAAAATTAGAAGAAACTATATGGCATTTCAGAAACTACGTGGTTGGGTTTTTGCAAAAGTTTTTTTGGGGCCTGGGATTTAGCTCAGTGGTTCTGCCACCTGCCTCACAAGCACAAGGACCCAAGTTCAATCCCCGGTACCAAGAAAAAGTTTTTTTGAAGTTTTATTGACAGGAGTTGGATTTTGCACTCCCTCTGCATTGCACATTAAAGAATCAGTGAGCTGGGCGTAATGGTACAACCTGTAATCCCAGCTACGTGGGAGGCTGAAACCAGGAGCTCAAGACCAGCCTGGGCAACAGTAAGACCTTTATCTCAACTTAAAAAGAAAAACAACAGATGATGAATATATAGAAAAATAATGAAAAGAAGTTAAGTCCAAACCAAAATATATATATTTCTATCCTAGCTATTCTCAGGAAAGTCATCAACAAAGAAAAGAGACCACCTTCTTAATCTGTCCTGCTAAATGACTTGGTACCAAAAGGCCTCCAAGGAAGTTAATCTTTATAAATCAAATTTTGCCCCTTGTTAATTTAATAATAGAGGATTCTACATGCTCAGGTATTCCTTTTAGTTAAGTTTCTCTGTGACTCAAAACATTAATTGGTAAATAGGGAGACTAATTTAGATTTCACAAGAAAATAGCAAGACTACAAAAATTAATTTCCAGGACTCCTGCCTTCAGATATCTGAAGATAGTATTTCATCAGCCTACTGACTGGCTAGAACAGTCAGTATGAGGTAACTATGTTTTATAATTAAACATATATATGTATATATGTCTGCAATTATTTTTTCATTTAATTCACTACTTTTATTTCTGGTTAGAGGCTTCAAGTGGTATTGATTTTCTATACATTCACTTCATCAAGATGCCCTTTGAGCCAGGGATTTAGCTCAGTGGCACCACATCTGCCTCACAAGCGCAAGGTCCTGAGTTCAATTCCCAGTACCCACCCCCTAAAGATGCCCTTTGTGCTAGCCCATGGGGGCACATGCTTATAATTCCAGCTACAAAGGAGGCTGAGGCAGGAGGATCCCAAGTTCAGGCATAGCCTGGACAGTTTAGCAAGGCCATGTCTCAAAAAGGAATGGGAGGCACATGTGCATAGCATATGAGAAGCCCTAGGTTTAATCCTCAGTACAGGAGATAGGGGATGATGATACTTGGTATTGTCATCTATTTTGATTCAAGTACAGGTAGGCTCTTGTACAAGATGATTTTTAAAGTATTCACTGGTTATCTCTACTTAGGAGAGCACTGTTTCACTGCTACCTCCATAACTGGCAGATTTTTATGTGTCAAGAGGACTGGTCAGCCCCAGGCTTACAAGTGGAGGGCTCTTGAACAACAGAATGAAGCCCAGCTCCAGGTTTCTTCCGGTGTCACTGATGTTACTTCTTTTGACTTCCCTCTGCTCATTAAGTTACTGAGTTTTGTTCCTTTTGTATCCTGCCTCTGTGCTTTTGCTCATTCTATGCCCTTACCAGAAATGTAATTTTCTCAGAACTTTTTGTTTTACACAAAATAAACCTAAGTTTGTCATTTTACTGTGAAAAAAATACGAAATATTCTGCCTTAAACTTAGGTGTCAGAGTATGTTCTCAATCTCACTTTCATATTTCAATACTAGACTACGGATACCAACATGGTAAGATGGCAATTTGAACACAAACATCTTAAATTTCAAATCCCAACAAAAAGAATCAAAGAAAGAGCAAAAACTTCTTGCATCAGCAATGGAAACTGGAGAAGGGTACCATCTACAGGGTGCAGGCTTTGGAGACTTTCTGCTAGAGAGTAAGTTGGGAGGTTAGGGTGGAAGGAAAATACCAAGGGCATGTTCCCCAATTTCCTTTCCCTAATGTCTCCTCTATCTAAGAGGGCCAGTGACATTGAGAAAATGAAGGCAGAGGGCACACAGCATATCTTTGCAAAGACTCCAAGGAGCTCTGGAATGAGTCATCCCAGGCACAAAGGGCAGGACAACAAGAAGTCAGAAAGAGCCATAGGATGTACCTAAGGTGAACAATGGATTGAAGAAAAGCAAACCCAGGAAGCAGGCTCCTGCATTCCAGTTTCTTCTGCTACTGTTATACTCTATATGAACTTTAGTTTACCTTAAAGAAACTTCCCACTAGTTTAAGATACAAAATTTGAAGCATCAGTAGGCAAAGTGGATACATCTAAGCTGCTGAACTCAGACACTCATCTTGGGCAAATGCCCAGCCTTGAACCACTTTAATCTATCTAACCAAGAATCAGTAATGAGTAAAAGCATGCCCTGATATAAAACACCACACACACACACATACACACAAACTTTTTAAATCTTTCAAATTTTGATCTATGAAAATATTTCATAACATAAAATGAGAGTAATGACATTCAAGAGAACAGACATTTACAAATTAATGACAAGAAAACAGCCACTTGATATAATCTACTTTAAAATTCAATAAAATATGAAAAAATAGATGAAGACAATTTAAAATGAAAGACTAAATTTAAAAAATAATATAGGCAACATAATAGTTCCATTAAGATATTCTGAAACAGAACTAAAAAGAAATAAATATATTTGGGAAGGTCTCTCTGCATATAGATAAAATAAACAATGAAAAGGTGTTGATAATAGATGATGCTGGCCTGAATGGCTAACCCACTTAGATGAAAAAGAACCACATCTCACATTACAAAGGCAGATCAAATATCTGGAAGTGTCTGTGTGCACATATATGCAAAATAGATAAAGAAAATCTAACAGATGGTTTCATAATATTGGGGGAGGGAAAGCCCTGAACAAGAACAAAAGCTCCTGAAACAGTAAAGGAAAATAAATACAAACAGATCACATTATATAAGGCTGGGGGGATGTAGTTCAGTGGTACAGCATTTGCCTCACATGCACAAGGTCTCAATCTCCAGCTCTGAAAAATAAATATTCTATAAATATAAAAATTTCCATGATAAAAGCAAAATATTCACAACATACTGGGATCAGAAATACTGATTTACAAACTGGTAAGAAAAAAATAATTGGCTCAGTGAAAAAAATATGCAAAAGTGCTAATATACTAGAAATTCTTGTAAGACAAGATCAGGTATATTTATGGTGGTATGGCCATATGGACTACCAATTTTTATAAAGGAAAATGCAAACGGCTAGTAAACAGATGTAGATATGTGTATTTTGCACATTAAGTGCTAATGAGATAGTATTTTATCTTTTTGTTTATGCTACTGGCAAAAATAAGATTAATAATATCACAGCTACTAAAGCTAAGTAAAAGTGGAAACTCTCATCAAGATTTATGGGATTTAGCTGCCTGCCGGGCAAGCTCAAGGTTCCAAGTTTGATTCCCAGGATGGAAAAAAAAAAAAAAAAAAAAAAGAGTAATGTCACAACCCTGAGGTAACTAATCTGGCAACATCTATTAAAATATAAACATGCACATTCTCCAATGTATCCATCATATTTT